TTATCTCTGCTGCTGCTTATTAACAGCCTGAAATTAATGGAAATTCGTCTGAATATAAAATTGTTAAACAACAATTCACTTCTGTTATTTCTTATTGACTCAACCTGGAGAAGAAACTGGGAGACTTAATTCGGAGTTGGAACATCGCTGCAGTATTGTACCGCAAATTATTATTATTGCAGGTACTATGAAACCGGATCCATCAGGCCCAGGGCGATCGGTGGTAGTAAACCGCGGGTAGCTACGGCGGAAGTCGTCAGCAAGATTTCTCTTTACAAAAGCGAGTGCCCGTCGATATTCGCGTGGGAGATCAGAGACCGTCTACTCCAAGAGGGCGTCTGCACCAACGATAACATACCCAGTGTGAGTAACAATTCGCTGTTTCCATATTCTTTTTTCAATCAAATCAAATATTACTAGAAAAACCTGAGAGATAAAAAAATGAAGATAATTAAAAATAGTATCCAACTTCCCAATCAGCTTTATAGCTGAGCTANAATGCAAAGTGAGTCATGGTTGTTGAATTATTAACAGAAAACATTGACCAATAAGAGCGCGTGTAGAGCCGCGCTGACCAATGGCCGAGCGTCACTGATTCTAATTTGTTTTTATATAGGAAAATTCTAATTTCGGTCCACTTTATAGACGTCGAAAATGTTTTTTTTTTATCCACGCGTTATAAAAATATTATTTGTGATCCCTGTGAAGAAAATTGATGTCAGTTAGCCAGTACACGTCGGAGAGTAGTGAGCATCGGAAATAAGGTTCGTCGAAAGGTGGAGTGAGTAGAGGTCCAGAACGATGTCGGACGACGTCGAAGACAAGTCGAGGGAGAGAGACTATCACCGATGTCTGTTTCGTGTTTGGGACGTGTCGGTGATAGCGGTGGGTTCGCGTGTTCACTGAGGGAGATGACAGTGCTCCGCTCGTGGGTCCGAAACGTCAGTTCGCTTCAACGCTGCGGAACCGTGACACCGGGTCTAACAAACCTCGGGTGAACGAAAATCTCCCATGGCCGCCGTGGCTCTCGCCTGGACCCTCCCCTCCGTATTGTTTTTCCAAAGGAGTCGTACTTTTGCGTTTTCAAAATTCCGCTTCAATGAATCTCCGTTTAATTCCGTCGGCACAAAAAATTGTATTCACGCCGGTCGAACTGTGTTCGTATCTTTTATTTATCCCTCGCGGGCTGGTTTCGTCGGTTTCTGTCACTTACAGCTAGTATAAATCCTGGCGAAAGTCGTAAAAGAATTCCCGCGAACTAAAGCGGTATACGTTCTCCTGCTGCCGATAGTTCCGCAATTTATTTTCCATACCTGCGTATTTCCACCGACGCCGGTTACTCGCGCGTTAACCTTGCCGTCGCTTAACTTCCTCAAACATCCATTTTTAGTACTCACTATAGGAAATGATTAATAATTTATATGTTCATTGTCTCAGCTCCATTAATTTCGTTTTATCCTTCCATTTTATAATTCGAACGAGGCCAACTATGCTTTTTTGCACATTTGGTTTTCGTATAAATCCGCAATCTAATAATAATAATAACAGTTCCTCATATACAGGGTGTAAAAATGTTCATATCTCAGAAANTTCTTTCACAATGCAGCCATTTTTACTGGTTTTAGGCAATATAGGTATATACTAAGTTTCAGTCTTTCTAGTGTTAAACAACATTTTCCTTAGCGATAAAGTTGTCCAAAGCGTGGTTCAGGAGTTATTAATGAAAAACCCCGACCAATCAGAGCGCTCGATTGGCGCGAGCTGCGAATCGGAAGCGTTGGCTCAGATCCGGACGCCCGGCCTATCAACAATCTATCATTTCCCATTTTTAGTGTTAATTAAAATCGATAGAAATGTAAGATGGAGGTCTGAAGTGAATCAGCCTGTATATTAATTGCAATCTTTAACTTTGTTCTTCGCTTGTGATTTCAGGTGTCGTCTATCAATAGGGTGCTGAGAAATCTGGCGGCGCAGAAAGAACAACGGCAGCAGCAACAGCAACAGCAGCAAGGGGTGACTGCCGTCGGCGTCGGGGTCGGTGCCGGTAGTCCGGCGGAGAGCGTTTACGACAAACTGAGGCTACTCAACGGCCAAACCACTGGCTGGCCCAGGCCTAATCCATGGTCAGTTCACAATTTTATTTATCATAATAAATCATTATAAAAC